AACTGCACAGGTAAATTGCAAGCGTTTTTTTATTGTTCTTTTGCAAAACAAAATAATTACAAAGAGATCATGAACAGTTGTGGGGGAATTTTGAATTCTCTCTCTTTGTGTATATACACTCTCTTTTGTTTTGTTTAACATGTATGCAAATTTATCTTTAATTTCCTCTCTTTTTTCCTTTTTGTTTTGTTTTGTTATTATTGTATTGAAATAAAAATAGAATGGCTGAGTTACAAAAATTATTTGTCATGGTGGAATAATTGATGGACTGCTTATGTTACGATTTCAATTTGTTTTCTGGGTCGGTGGCAATAGTAGAATTATTTTGTTTAAAAATGATTGAAGAAAGATTAAGTAAAATTAGCTCTTGAACAACGGTAGAATAATGTTAAATCATGCTTACGACAGAAGTAGCTCACACTGTCCTCAGCAGTTGTGACAATTGACACTTAATTTGACTGATGCATGTCAATTATATATTTATTTTGTGGTTAAAATTGTTACATAAAAAATAAGAAGGATAAGGTTAGAGAGATTAAATTTATAGACTAAAATTGTAAACTAAATAATATGTTATCAATAAAAAATGAACACGTTTATCAACGTTTAAGTAATAATACAATCATTAACTTTCATGTCATTTAATTTACAAAATTTAGTCTTCCTAGCATTACTCAAATTTGAATGATTGTGAAAATAAATTAAGGTTGGTGAGGACTTTGACATAAATCTAAATATAATTAAGAAGGCTCTAAGGTAGTTCTATTCACACACTCGTTTTTACTTCTTTCACACTCTTATTAATTTTTGTCTATTGATCTTCTTCAATTAATTTAATCTGACGATCAGAAATCGAAAATAGTATGTGAGAAGTAAAAATTAATGTGTAAGTAGCACTACCCGTGGCTTTATATATGGTGCCCATGTCAAATCGACGCATTTTGGTGGCTCCATATATTTGCACGACAAGTGCCCTAGGCTAGTGACCATGAACTAGTTGTGTACAGTTGTGTGTTATCTCTCATCATGTGGAAAAGTTAATTAATTAAAAAAGTTTATAACGACATGTGTACAACTATGTATCGACCGTGGTATAAGACCAGAAGAAGTACTGTATATCATATAACATAGGATAGTTGGCTTGATGGTGCATTCCAACCGATACATGTGTGGAGGAAGTGTTGTAAATGCCTTGTTGAGCTGCATCAGCATCTGTGTGCGAGAGAGAGAGTGAATGAATATATTGAGTTTTGGTGGGCAGTGAAAAGTGAAGTGAGAAGGACGTGAGGCCTTTTCCTTGTACCATGAGGATGCGTTTGTTACACCTTCTTAAGAGATTGGCTTAAACTGACTTAACTAGAACTATAATTCTACGTTTGGTATGTTTCTGGACTAGATTAAATGGAACTCGCTCCAACTAACAATCCCTCCACGTTTCGTTAAAGCTCGTTATTTAGTTCGGAGCTTTCGCTTGGTATTAAGCATGACTAAAATGGAAAACGAGGCCGACGCTTGGTCGTTTGCTACACCCGACATCCACTCTGCCTTCTTTCTGCTTGCACCGTTACTATGGCCAGGTCGTCGGCGGTGCCTTCTCTTATGTGGCCCAACCTTAGGTGATAGCTGCAGCTCACAGCTGAAGAGGCGCTGCTTTAGGCCAAAATCGCGAGTCGGTGGAGGACCTGGCAATGCTACCGTCGGTGGGCGTTGCTGACGAGAAGCAGATCAAGAGCTTGACGATGAAGGTTGGGAAGATCTGTACAATATTATGCGATTTGATTATTTGGTTGCAGGATTGGGAGATCTGTACATTTTTTATGCGATTTGGTTGCTGACATGATTGAATGAGAAAATTAATTAGCTTTTAAAAGTTAAGATAACTATAAAATAAGTGAGAGAGTGGTGAAATTGTGGAGATAAAAAGGTAAGTGGAGGAGCATGCCGGAGAAATCGAGAAGGGGAAGTTGAGCAGAGTTTGATGGGAGAAGGATTGCAGTAAGAAATTAATTTTGATAGAAAAGAAATTAATTTTAATAGAAAATAAAATAATTAAATAAAAATTATTGTACTTTTTTATTTGTAATCCAACACTACATTAAACGTTTCACTAAATCAATCTAATTAAATTTAGTCCTTGAAGCTAGTCCAGTCCGAAATAGTCCGGTGCAACAAATGCCCCCTATGTATATCGATGATCATGAATCAAAATAATGTGTATAAAAAATATATATAAATATGTTGTGATTTAGGGACACGTTTGTGCCATATTTTGACACATATTTTTATGAAACTCACTCTGTAATGTATTTTAGAGATCCAACCGTCTATCTTTTATATCTTAATTTTTTTGTATCTTTTATGTCTTACCTTAAAGATAATATCTACCAAAAATCACCTAAATCTGAAACCATATGACCGTTGATTGAATTTAGTGTGTCATTGTAGAACAACATTTGTCTATTTTTTTTCACTACAAATAAATGTTTTAATAGTCTTGGATTTGCATAATTTTTTACAAGAATGATTTATGAATAATATAATAAAATATAGACGATTGTGATTGTCGAAATACATATAAAATAAACTATACATACTATACAAATGAGTGTCAAATTATGTGCCAAAAACATGTTCGTGTATTCTAACTCTCTACGTATACGTATGTGTGTGTGAAAGCAGATTGGTATATCTATATGTAAGTAAGAGAGAGCTGGAAAGGGACTCCATGAGATATTTTCCATCCCCAACTACCTTGAATATGGACGACGGAGGAGACAAGGAGCATGAAAAAGGAAGCCAATCAGATACAGTAGGAGATATGTGTATCACATATTATGCATATTTTATAAAGTAGGGTGGTTTGGTGCTCAAGAAATAGGACCAACTGTGCTTGGTTATTTAACTTGAATTGGCTGATGGACTGGGATTGAATGTAGGTAGATTGTCAGTCCTTCTATTTAGATGTATTTCCTATCCCTTTCTATTTTCTACGGTCACGATTAAATCACATCATGGATTGGGATTGAATGGAGACAGATTTTCTGCTCTCCTGTTTGGATGCCCTTCCCATCCCCTCCTATTTTGTATGGTCACGGTTAAATCATTTTAATATTTTATATTAATTTGTTTATAAAGATAATAAGATAAAAATCAGTAAGAATATAAAATGTTAATATAACTTAACCGTAATTGTATAAATAAAAAGGGATAAGAGTGGGACAAAGACTTGGAGGGGTACTAGTTGAGGAATGAGCATCCTCTCAAAATCCTATAATCGTGTTTATTTATTGTATATCATATGTTTATTTTTTATCAGATACTGTTTATATTCAATTTTAAATAAAACAATTTATAATAATTTCTAATCGCATAACATACGATAAACGAATATAATTAGAAGATCTTTGATATCTTCATAAAAAAAATCGGAAAAAATATCCTCATTCCTAATTGAGGTCAAATTTTGACCTGTACATGTTGATTTGGAGAGAGAGGAGATGACAGTTGACAGCTCAGAGGATGCAGTGTTTGTGGCGAAATGCTTACCCTTAAAAAGTCAAAGTATTTTACTTTTATGTACATTATATGTATGATTTGATATTAACATGATGAACTGTTTTTTTTTTCAACTTACGTGCGACAATACGGTATAGGGTATTGTTTAAATACAATGTTTGATATATAATAATAAAAATGAAAGCTCACTAGTGTGACTTTTCCTACTCTGCCTTTTCGAGGTTATATATTTTATTGTTTTGATATTTATGAGTTCACCAAATATGAGATATGAAATAAATTCATGTCCCATCAACTGATTATAAAGTTATAATGTCTTCATCAATTGGATTTTTTTTTTTTTTTTTTTTTGTAATTTTAACACAACTCAGGTTCATTGAGAGGAAATTATCGTTTGTCCCATAGATACGCTTCGTATCGACTGGTCCCTTCGTGCCTGATCAACACAAATGCATCAAGAAATTCAAAATTGTCAATTTTTATAAAATATTTTAAATATAGCTAAAATCTCACTTGAATAGACCCAATTGCCATCAAAACTTACGCGAAATTACACCTTAAAAGCCAAAACCCTTTTAAATCTTGTGTCATTGTTGATTAGGTTTCGGGAGTGGTAAACTGGAAATGCATGAATGTATATTAGTTGCAGCCATTGTTGAACAAGTAAGACATCATGAAATGAATGTATATTAGTTGCAGCCATTGTTGAACAAGTAAGACATCATAAAGTATGTTAGCTGCACCATTGCGAAGATGGAAACGCATTCTACTTGTCAACCATAAGTCTAAAATTCGAACAATTCTATCATAAGTATAAAATTCGAAGAATAAATTAGATTATTAGATCCAGCCAAATTCTAGCCCAATAATAAAAAACCCATCTAACCCCTTTATTATTGGGCCAAATTTGGACTAAGGCCTATACCAGGCTGCCAGCTCAAAATCCTGTGAGTAAAAGGTGTTGACCCAGCCAAACCCAACCCATCACTTACTGAAATTTAAGAATAGTATTGTGTCGATTTCGCCCTTTCCATCATTATCAAATTTTCCCGTTGAACTTTGATTTTAATCAGAGGTAGTCCTATCCACATACCAATTTTACTTTTTGCACATCTTTCTTAATTTTCGGTCATCAGGTCAAATCAATTGAAAAGCAATGACAAAAACTTAACAAGAATGCGTAAGAAGTAAAAATAAGTGTGAACGACACTATCCTTTAACTAGTATCCCACTACACTATTGCATACCAATTTTTCCCTCCATGGTCGTTCACATTTCATTTAAATTTTATTTAAAAAATCAAATTTTAAAAGAATGAGTAACAAATTAAAAACAACATTTAATGACCAACATCCAACACGTGGCTCTTCTAAAATGTAAAACTGAATGGAAGGTGACAAAACACGACACTAGGTGGAAATTGGCAATTTATAATAGTTCAAGAAGAAAATTGCCAAACTAAATGTTAAGCGGGAAATCGGCAGTAGGGTACAAGTTCAATGGAAATTTGACAAACGAAACTAGTCAATACATCAGATCCTTTACCAACAAATACTGGGAGGAAAAAAAAAAAGGGGACAATCAGTTCCTTGGATCCCACTTACAATGTAATGACTACGCCTTATCTTTCACATCTTCATCACATTTCTTAAAATTACAACAGCTTGAAAAGAATGGACCATTTCCCAGTTTTCCCCTATTGGGATTTGTCGTCGTTATCCATAGAACAAGTTTACATCAAGATACGGAGTACAGCAAGACCGACAGCAGATATCGAAACAAGAGTACCTATGCAGTATTTTATGACATCGTATTTTGCTGCTTCCACCTGAGCCCTTAAAGCATGAATTTCCTGGTAGAAATATGTAAGTAAGCATTAGTGAAAGGACTGTGCGGTGCGCTCCTAGTTCTAATTGAAAAAGTAGTCACCCAATTCTTACCCGATCAAGTTTGTTAGTGAGGTTATTTGTTTCAGCATTCTGATTAGATAGCTCTTCTCGTATCCTCCTGCATTTATCAACCATATGAATGAACAAAGAGAGCGAATATCATGACTCAAACAGAGGTTTTGACGAACTCAGAGAATACTATGCATTCATTTAACGTATTCACTTACCCTCTTTCCAGGTTCAAGTCCAACCGCTGTCCTGCGGTAACTTTGTCGATTTCATACCTGCATCACAATGAAAACATTCGCACTGTAATGATGATTATAGAAGCAAACACAAATTCACATAGAAACAGACAGAAAATGACGGTAAAGTAACTCCACTAATCAGACCTCAATTCACTGCGCATCTTCTCTATATCATTCCGAAGTTTTTCAGTCTCGTGTTGCAACAAAGAAAAATGGTGTCCCTGCATAACATATTTTTTTCAGAGAACCAATGGCACTATCCCAGGAACTAATAAACATTTATTTTTCTTTGCAATGATTGTTTAGGGAACATCGAGGTCCAGCCTTGTTAGAAAAGTCTTCGAGGAACTTTTAAACAGAGACCTTAATGACGTCAAGGTCACTTCGAAAAACACCATAACTATCCTTCTGGTGATAAAGAAAGGGAGAGAGATAAAGACATGGTTGTCAACCTTGAAAAATGTAATCAGAGTAACAACTAAGGAATTCATATTCCGGATCAATTATGCTGCTGAACTAAAATAAATTCAGCTCCAAAAAATGTAGAAATACAGATAATTCAAATCCATTCTGATAAACTGAAAAAAATGTCAATGTCATAAACATTGGTTCCAAATGGGTTGTTTGATTCCATTCCAGTGCCCATATATGCTGGAACCTATGAATTGAGAATAACCCTTTTGATCATGTAGGAGGTTATGAGATGAAATGTCGAACACAGTAACTAAACGTATGGCTGAAATCCTAAATGTTTGGCTGCCAGTAAGATACAGAGTCAGAAGCACACCCCAGCATGCAACAGCCACTCAGAAAATGGAGACATCATATTTTAGGTACTTGAACACTACTAAACATCCGAAAGAAGGTAGTTGATGTCCACAATATATATGATCGACGCCAGGATGGGGTCCAATCATTTATCATAATGCCGTCATACGCATACAAAAAGGGTGGGGGCTCGGGGCATATTTCATGAAGATCACTAATAGTGCAACTGAAAATTACGAGTAGCCTTGCATTCATGTCTACGGATGTTAACAGGAGCTTGGAGAAAACATCATCATTCAAAACCCAAAATGCAGTCCCATTAGCATATCGTCAATAATTTGGAAATCATTTATACACAAGACAAACACAAATAAAGACCAAGCTTAATCCAGAAATTCCAATCAGTCTATGTTTGCAAGCACAACAGTAACAAGATTTGAAACGGCAACTAGAACAGAATCATCCAAATATCAACATAACCAAGAAGAAGAAGCTACAACTAAATACAAACCACGATCTCATAGTATTGGTAATGACTAACGGAAAGAGCTAGTAAGTACCTGCGCACTTTGAATTTCGGATTTGAATTTGGACAAGTTGGATTCTTGGATCATCTCCGTCTATAAACAATTACGCAAAACATACGTTTAGATGCAAGCATCATGATTTGTTGAACGACAACATACACAGACGTAATCAGTAAACGGGGAAACTAGAGTAAACATGAAAACTCCTTACTTTCTGCATCTCTCCTTTTGTAACAAATGAATGAGACACATTTTCCAAGCTGTCATTCAAAACTTCAGTAATGGCAGCAGTTATCGCCTCCGCGTGCTTCGAGGGGACGCCTTGTCCCTCTAATCTCCTAACCTAAACACAATGCAGCACATAATTACCAACAACTGCAAACACAATGCAGCACTGCAACTTCTCTAATCTCACCGTAAATTTTCCATCATTTGACTTTTCACAGTCATGCCATTTTCAAAAATTCAAATTATCATTTCTCAAGAGAAAGCGATTCGATTACTCACCAGAGCTAATGTATCGACGAGAAACAACCGCTTTCCATTTGATTTGACTAGCTGAGAAGTCAGCCTGCAATCCAAATGCCTGTACTCCACCGACGGAGACACCGTTCTCGAAGCACCACCGGGCCCTCCGAAACCGGATAATCCGATCCCGGACCCGGTCCCCAATTGGGCGACCCGTCTAGAAGCCGCAGCAGCGGCCATTCGAATTCGATTTCCGCACCTGATTCCTCAATGCTAATCTCGATCTCAATCCCTCAATCGATTCCGAATCAAAACCTTCAATCGGTTGCCTGCCGAGAAAACGATAGGATTACAGTTACAATTTGAAAATCCAATCCGATCCAGTACCTATCCGTATCCGGAAAGTTACGAGCCGGAGAGCTAGGAGCAATACATGCTAATTTCCCCACTGGGAGATCCTGGAGGACTGGATAGGATTGTTGTCCCCTGTCCGTCTCGAGATTCGCGAAATATAAAAGATGGAGGGTACCGGGAGATCCTGTTTATTTCGCGGTTTGCTGCTTCCTTCGGTTAAATTAGCCCGTGTGCCAAACAGCGCGCAAACCTTTTCTAATTTTTTGGAAGAAATCCTACAGGGAAAGAGTTTCCAAATTTTGTCTTACTCCTTCGAGGAATTCAATTTCGACGGGTTACGGCTAATGTCGTGACAGATGCTTTTGGCTTCATATGAGCGTTCATAGATTCTAATCAAGTTTCGGAGCACTTGCGTTATCAGTTGTTTCAATGTTTAATTTTGATCGTTTTGCATAAAATCACTTGTAGAGAAGAATACTTGAAGCGCTTCTCTTCATAAGTGATTTTGGGCTTCCCGAAATAGGCCCTAATTGTCTCAAGGCACATAGGTTTCTCTTATTAATCTGCTCGCATAATATGAACTAGGAAAATCTTGTATACAACCGATCAATATAACACTTCTCTTACACTAATACGCTCACATGTTAGTCACGCGACCAGTTCTACGATGGGAAAGTTATCTACAAGGGTTATATACAAGAATCCTAACGTAAAAGTACTGTAAACGATTGTCATGTAGCAAATATGGAATCAACCTGACTCGAAGACGAATATAGCAGATATGGAATCAAACTGAATCCTGCTTCTCGAGTTATTTGTTCATTCGTCTGGTTTTTTCAACAAGCAATCTTGGTCGCCCTCTGTACGAGTATAGAAACTTGTAGATACTTCCTTTTACGTACTTCCCAACTTTACGTATGTTCTTAGTCACCCCTGATGCAACAAGATCTGCGTTTCTTGTAAACCTATACATTCATTAACAAACCCCAGATAACCCATTACGAATAAGGCATAACGTTTCAGAAAACTAGGATTCCATAATTGTCACTTGAATAGTCTAATCTTATGCTTGCCTGTTGAAGAAGAGACTTCCGGCTGACTGAGTCGGTTGCTGCCTCTGAGTCTGAGGGACTTCATGATCATCTAAAAGGTAATCACAGGCGATAAATAAAGCGACAACAAATGTTTAATGTAACATTTGACCTTAACTTAAGTGCACAAGTACTTTTCGAAATCATTTCTAGAAACCAAACACTAGTTTATACATCATTTCTAACCAATGTCAAAATCTGTTCAACCAAAGTAACTTACGCGACCTCATTATCTGCGTGCCAATTTTGCAGGAAACGTCTTGACTACATTGGAGGCGAAGTATTGTAGGCAAAACCTAGAAAGAGAGATACAAAGGAAAAAAGGCGGGTAAACAAAAATTTAATTCCTTACCCCGTTTGTGATGGACATGGGCAGAAACAGGAGCGGCAGCAGGTGTCTTTTGAACCATTCTTTTGCCAACCAGAAGCTGCAGTAACTCATGTCAGTCAGAATGCTTGGCTAAACAAAGATTAATGTAGGGAGAAGCACTTTATGTAGAAATTTCATGTGTCGAGAAAGTCAGCTTCTGCATAGACTTAATTACTTCTAAGTTTCTAAGCACCAAACGCATTGATCCAACTCCAAATTGCACCAGAAGCTCACAAGTCACATGCTCTAATGAATGGTTCATAGCTTGTTATCATGCAATATATTTAGATCTTGTATAGCACGATCTGATGAGAGCTCACTGTTCAAGGGCTTGTTTGGATTAGGTTTGATAATTCACTATATTTAAGGTATGTTAAAGAATAAATGAAAAAATTGCGTCCAACTTTTTGAAGATAGAAGATGGATAACCCATCAAGGAAACTTATCCCTTGCTATCACCCCAAAATTGTAGGATTACAAGGATAACCTCCTCCATGTCTACTCCCCTCAAAATGAAAAATCATTCACCTCGATTGTCAAGTGAATTATAAGAGTTATCCATTCCAGTCCCGTCCTAGGCATCAAATGAGCCCTAAATGGCTAAAAGTAAAAGCTAATCCAATTAATATAAAAGAAACACGAAAAACGACATGCAAGCTCCATGTATTGAAGAAATCAGTTAAGGTCAATTGCCCACATCTCATATTAGCACATAATACAATGTTTTACTCTCTGTGTTTTTATGTGAGGGCTTAGGAGAGAGGAGAGATATTTAACCTTGAGACCGTAGCAAACGGGCAATTCTGGTTGTTCCTCGGAATGGTCTTTCGTAATTCGATCCAAATACAGAGAGTAACCAGCACAAGCATAACGAAATTCAGTAAGATGTCGATCATCTTTAGAAGCTTTCATTTCAGTTTCTGCAACTATTAACTGAGGCACTGGTCACCAAAATCTGCATATTAGTAGCTAGTCCAATAAAACAACAATAGAACGAATTTCAACTGACAAAAAGAAGAAAAAACACCAAACCAACAATCTCAACTACAAAAAGAGGCGGTTCAAAAATCTAAATCGCACAAATGGCGAAGAAAGATAAACCCTTTATAGGAAAATATAAGCAGATTGCAGCTCAAAGGTGATGACTTTGGTTAATTTCCCAAGCAAAATTATCATCATTAATCTCAAATTTAAGGCGAAATGCTAAAACGATGAAAAGAGAAAAACTTTTGTAATAAACTCAAGCCAATACAAACCAGAACTCAGAAATTGAAACCCTAGAATTCAAAATTCAAAAGAAAGAATACCAAAAGTTCCGCAATTGGTAAGATTTCTGGTAATAAAATTGGTCCGTTGGTGAAGAACTAACGTTTTCTTATAAAAAATTTATCGGGAACCAAACAGAAAATAGCTAAGAGGAGACCTTCGGGGATGGCGCGAGGAATGCCGACGCAGAGAGGATTGTAAGCCTTAGATTTGAGGGCGGAGGAATAATAGAGTGTTCCTTTGCATGACCTGCCTTTTTTGGAGGCTTTTGATTGGTCCGGGAGCTCGTCTTTGCCGCCGTTGTTCGTATCCATGGCGACCCTCGTCGTCGTCGTCGTCACTGTGTCATCTGTGACTGTCTTTTTCTCATTGTGTCGCGGTCGCTGTCTCGTTTGTCACTTCGCTCGGGTGGCCTCACGCATGGTTTTAACTCGCACGGAACGCTCTCTGGAGGCAGATTCTCTGCGCTACATGTAATCACGGTAAACCACGTCAATATTTTATATAAAATAAAAAGAAATAGTAATATAAAATATTGACGTGATTTAACCGTAACTACACAAAATAGAAGGACATAGAAGTGGGAGGGCAGAGAATCTGTCTCCATGCTCTCTCCTCCCGCTTACAAATTTACCGGACTATTTTTTATTTTATGATTAAAGTTGAGCTTTAGCATTCCTTTAAAATAATACGCAACGCAACCGAGTTTAGTTAAATTTGTTAGAATCATCTCTTACTGACTCTAAATTTAATTCTTTTTTTCGTAGTTTAGGTAAATTTAGCATAAAGTATCTTTTTGTGTATCAAAATGAGCTGAATGGAAATTTCAAATTCACGGGTTTTGCATTAAGCTCATATAATCATCTTTGTTTCACTTTGTTAGTCGACGTGATCAATTCCGTTCAAGTTTTCAAAATAGTAAAATAGCAAAAGTTTTTCATGTGTATTAACCCCTCGGCCAATTTACTCCAAATGTGTCACTCCGGTGGCCAGCAATGTAAAGGTAAGGGGCAGGGGCGTCGGTGGTAGCAACCGTCGAGGAAGGGGATTGGGGGCGGTGGAGTTCGGGATGGTATATAGGCGGGTTCAGTCGGACCTGTTTCTGCGAGTGCAAGAGGCACAATATGTACACATTTTATTCACAAAAAATGGAACCTTTTTTTGTTCTTTTACAAATATATGGAAGATCAATGAGTGACCAAATACGAAGCAAGAAGCTCGATCCAGTTGCGTTCTCTCTTCTTCGTCCTTGCAAATACGAAACTCGTACTAATAAACAGGGAATGAAACTAAGAAAAGAAGGTGATGTAGCACAAGGTAAAGTTTATTTTATGCAAATCATGCTCCTCTGAACGGGATAATAGCCTTCCAGTTCAACCAGCTCCAGGATCTGCTTTGTAGACCAAAGATAGGAAGAGTGCGAATCAATTATGTCCGTGACATCCACCTGCAAAAACGGAAAATATACTGATATTGTTAAGGCGATTATTCATAAAAGCCGACATGGTTGTAAAGCATTGGATAAAGCAAGGAATTGAAAGAAATATCTTCAATCCGTTATCAAATAGTATAGAGAGAGAGAGAGAGAGAGAGAGAGAGCTCACGTTCTCAATCCCTTGAACATTGATTGGTTGAATTCCAGCTAATCCTCGAGAAAGTAGACTGTTCATTAGGTGATCATTAGTTACAGTCGTGGCAAATCAACAAATTAACATCAGCTCGTAAGCTAGTTCAAGGTCGAGATGAACTCTCATTTGTGTTTGTGTATGTGTGTATGTGACCAAAGGCTCCCCCAAAACAACCATTATGCATACCTAGCACGGAAAGCAACCCCAAGCATCCAATCATTTGTGGAGTACGCATTCACAAATCTTCCAGCCACCATCTGCAAATAGCAGGACGAGAAAAAAAAAATGTAAATTCTGCAAAGTTCAGTAGTGGAAAAAAAAATAAGAAGAATTTTAATAACCTTTCTAGCAGCTTCCCATTTCTCATCTGCAATCGAGATGGGTGCTCCAAGCAGAACGACTCGTTCTACAAGTTCAGCTGCCAATAAATAACGCCTATTAATTCAGGTAGAGAAGATTGATAAGAAACTATCAATTTATTATCGCTTTACCATGATGTTCAGTTTCTGCCAAACACTGGAGACACTTGAAAATTGCTCGTGCTCCAAGTGAGAAACCCACAAGTGTTACAGGCCTGAAATTCACAAAATGGATTTTTGTTTTGTTATGATTGGTTTTTCAGGAATGTTAGTGCTTTGAAGTTACAATATATACCTGTTCCCATGAATTCCCTTTAGTAACACCTCAGCAAGAAGTTTTCCTGCTTTGTCTGACCTGGAATTGAAAAAAAAAAAAAAGTAGAACTAGCTGTCTAGCTATTAATTCATGACAAATACTACTTATGTAATTACTAAAACTTGAATATCTTCAGAGGACGGTTCATCACAAAGTGCTTCGTACCATCTAATGAATAATTCCTGCAATCATAACAACAGCTTTTGGAAACCACATGTAAATAAGAAGTAACTGAAACGAGAGGTTTCCCCACTCTTCCCAGTAAGAGAGAAAAAGGACCTGTCCACGGCAATTGCCCATTTGCTGTCTATAAAAGCAGTAGCTGCAAGTAATGTTGCCGGCCAAGCAAATGCAGTTACAAGAGTGCCTAACACAGTCATCATTGCACCTTGCTTCATCAAACCCATTGCAATTGCTACATCAACCAGTGGCAAAATCATTACCCTGGGAAACTTTTATCATCATAGTAGTACTAAAAATAATAGTAGCCATGGGTCCAAAATAATTACTTGAGGTAAGCCAATCCTGAATTGCAGTGCTCACTGCAATTAAATTCTTAGACTCCCAGAGCACTGCATACCTATAGATTCATTAAGGTCAAAATAGATAAGTCGTCTATTCATTCCATTTACGGATTAACACTCATGTAATTTCAAGTTTTCAAACATGTTGGAGAGTGGTAAAATGACTGTACCTTTCCAAATTGTCATCATGTCCCTCCCAAGGCTTTGTAAAGTCTTCCTCATCAAACACAAATCCTGAAACCAAGATCTCGACTGCTAGCCTCTGAAACATAAAGCGAGTAAAATTACAGTTTGAAGCAATAATAGATAGATATATAGATGGAGAAATATATCTCTATGTGTGTGTGTGTGAGAGAGAGAGAGAGAGAGAGTATAGCCAAACTCACGCCCTGGTTATGATTTTCTCCAATAGCTTTGAACTCAAATTGATCGACACCTCCAGTTCTTCTAGCCATTTTGCTCCCTGTGAGTCCAGCTCCAGCAGCTTGATTGGACAGAATGAGCAATAATCCATAATTTAGTTTGCAAAAAAGCAATATGAAATATGAAACTGTTTGTAGAAAACATTTTTAACTAAGTAAGAAAATCTATATAAATCATGAAGATATTTCCCACATAAACAAAATATTAAATCCAAAGATTCTAAAAGAAGCCCCCAAAAACAAAAACTTAACCACTTAATCACCTCCAAATGATGCAGCAACAACAACAGAACCAGCAACAGATCCTGCAGCAGTTGCAGCTGCGGCAAACCCACTTGCTCCAATGACTGGGATGATAGTGCCCAATGTTGGAGCTAGAGCACCAAGTCCAGCAGCAATTGCGGGGGCTGCTAGTCCTGCAGAATAGTAAAACTAAATGAATTGCAATGCAGAACCATAACCAATAAATCTGATAGGAAATTAAATTCACCAGCAACAAGGAAAAAATCTTTAGGATCTATTACCACCAGTTATTGTCAACAACGCTCCTCCAGTTATTGCAGCAGCACCAATGATACCACCACGCTTCCATTTAGCCCATTTGTCTTTTGGTGATTGGGTTCCTCTTTTTCTTCTTCTTGTTTTACTAATGCCATTGCAGAGCAAGCAACCATTGTCTCAATGGCTTCCTACAAAGCAATTTTTTTTTTTTGGGGGGGTGAGAATCATAAAAGATCACCATAAACAATCAGGGAATGCAGTTACGGTCAATTTGTGTCAAAATAAGATACTAATCTGATCGTTCTCATTAATGATAAAAATGCCGAGGTTTCTTTTTCATATTGATCATACTTCTAGACACCTAAAATAAGTAAGAACATTATCTACCAAAGCATATCTGGAATAGGGTACTCAGAGGGACAAGTACACATACCATTTTTATCCATTTGACGTCAAGCCAAGTTGCTAGCAAACGCAGAGCTACACGATGCCGAGCATCGTAACCCTTTCTCCGACGGGTAGATTTCTTCTTCTCTTCACGTTTATCAGCCAGACAAGCTGTAAGAAGTTCATAGAGAACTGTAACTTTCCTCTCATAAGCTGAGCATTGTCAACTCTCCAATAGTTTTCTCACGAATGTCACTGGTAGACGCAACTGCATCTTTAACCCTAACCAGACTACCACCAGTCCCATGCAGATTTTCCAATTGCGAGTCCACTTCTTCAATTTTTTGTTTCACATCAGCTGTGGAGCATTTCTCCATCAGCTTCTCCAAATGCTCATCCACTTCTTCCCTTTTGTGCTTCACCACAGCTGTGGACCCTTTCTCCTGTGAAGTTCCCAACTTCCCATCCGCCGCCTCAATGTTCTCTTTCACCTCAGTTGTGGAGAACTTCTCGCGGCATTCATTTTCATATTCACGATGCTTTTCCATCTTCGACTGCGAAGACTCGTGATCCTTTTCCATGCTAGACGCCATAGCGTCAATACCTTTTGACAACGCAAGCTCTTGATCTGAATTTTCGGAAGCATCCTTACCATCACGACCACCTTCTTCAGCAAGCAACCTCAAGAACTATGACAAAAATCAAAATCAATAACAAAAACGAAACCCGAAACCTGAAAAAACCTGAATAAATTGTTTATCGAGATATTGCAACAAACGAACTTACAGCTCCAACATGATGGCTAGCAGGAGAAGTAGCAGCACTCTCCTGAAGTCCAGACCATGCTGCAGAATCAATCTCCAGAAACCTATTCACAATGCCTCAGGTAATCAAAAACCTAGAATTCAAATCCCTAAATATAAATTACTGTCCTAAATTCCCAACAATCTCAGCACCCAAACAGGGCAACGAAAAATTTCTACGATCACCTCAAATAAATAAATAAAAGAACTCAAAATTGAAGAAAAAAGTGGACCTGAAAACGGGTGGGAGGAGACCCGAGTTTTCGTGGACCCAGAGATCCGGGTCGTCGGAGACGGAGTCGGCGCTGCTGACGCTGCTGGTCCGCTCCTCCGTCGACTCTTCTTCTTGTGATGACAATCGCAGAGGGCGCGTCTGGTGGATCTGAGCCTGGTGAAGAGCGAACGCGAACAGAGCTCCGGCGGCGTACCGCTGCGTCGGCGTCAGATACGACGGCGGGG